TGAAGCGGAGCAGCTACGCCGAGCAGCCGTCCGTCCGCTTCCTGCACGAGGTGCTCCTGGTGGGCCTGGCCGAGGGCGGCGGCTCGGTGGGCTGGAGCTCCTTCGCGGCCTGCAACCGCCTCCTGGGCGCCCGCCTCCGCCTCCCGCTGGTCTCGGTAGGTAGGTCGGTGGGTGGGTGGGGGGCCGCCCCGGACTCGCCCCCGCGCGCCGGCCTCTCCGGCTGGGTGTTCCCGGGGCCTCCTCGAAGAAGGCCCGAGAAGGCGGGTGGCGCCGCGATCCGGGCGCCGTGTCTGGGTCGGGCGGCCTAGGGGCAGTTCCTTCCTCGTGTGGTCACCAGGGCTGCATCTAGAGAAGCTGCCCCCTCAGGGAGGCGGTTGCCTCCGGGACCGCGCTGATAATAAGCTTCCTTTCTACCTCCTAGGCTAGAGAGGAAGACGTCAATCAGGATGGCGTGATGGACCTATTGCATTTCCGGCTGGAGCTTCCCCTGCAGTCCACGGAGCAAATACTTGGGGTACAGCTCATGCTGACCTTTACTTACCAGTTACAAGTGAGTATCCCAGAGCGTCTCATCTCAGTAGCTTCTGGGAAGTCAGTTTGTTGTTTCGGCAACAATGCAAAGATTCTGGGGGGACTTAGGCTGTCACACTAAGGACACTGTTCTCCGGGAAGCAAGCTCCTGTGAGCAACATGGGGTTTCTGAGTAGGCCTCCCTCACAGTCCTCCTAATACACAAAAAGCAGCCCTGATCCCGTGGCCCAGCTAAGGTGGTTGGTGCTTCACTCCTCTAGCCCTTGCACAGCCAGCAACGTAAGTCACAGAGTCTTAATGGGAGAGATTGTGGCCATCAAATATATGAAGGCCCCGGTCACATGGCAAAGTTGCTGCGGGAGAGGCATGGGAGTCCCGCAGATTTTCCAGGCGCGATCTCACCCCAACATCTGGGAAGCGCAGTGCTCCCGTGGCGAACCCTTGGCTCCCCGCCGAAGGTGCGGAGTTACAAACTAGTACCTACGAGGTACTAGTTTTCTGAAACCGCGGGCCAAGGGCGGGCGTCTGATCACGTTCCCGGTGGACTTACGTGACATCCGGCGCCCGGCGCTGTTCGTCTCCGCAGGTTGCGCAACAGCACATGCGCACAAAGAGGAATTGCTGGTGTGATCGCACGGCGCAGCTTCTGTGCCGCGCTGCAGGATACCCGTCTGATCGGCATTTCCCCCGAACCACAGGACCTCAACCGGGTCGTGTGCTCGGGCAGCTGCATGTTCGTTTCCTCCAGGGCAATTAGCCACGCCTCCCCCCTGCGATATCCGGCCTGTGTGACCGGGGCCGAAATAAAGCATTATTTTCAGTGGACAAATATATCTGTATGCATAAGAGCAGAGGCAAATATAGACTTGGCATCAAAAGACCATTTATTATAAGAGTAGATATGTGACATTTCTGCAGGTACATAGAAAGTATTCAAGATAGGAATAGTGATCAGTCCATAGTGGTGATTATTTATTTATTATTTTTTGGACTTCTAACCCACCTTCCCCTGCACAGCAAGGCTTAGAGCAGGGTACAACAAGTTAAAACAACAATCACATTATTAAAACAATTTCATACATGATGATTAAAGCTAAAATCAGATGGCACCTTAGGCACTAACCACACAGTATTCAGGTGAGCAGGTTGTAGAGCTAGTGCACCATGTGATGGGCAGTGGAATGGAGGGGAGGGGAGGGGAGCTGGCAGGGGCAGATTAGGTGGTAAATCTCTCTGCCTCAACTGTATACCTGGGGAATGTCCCAGTTTTACAGGCCCTGCAGGACTGAGTCAGATTCCGCAGGGCCTCGATCTCACCAGGGAGAGCATTCCAGCAGAGCTGAGAAGGCTCTGGCCTGGGTTGAGGCAAGACACACACACTTTTTGGCCCGAGGACCACCAGGAGGTTGTTATTCATGGCGCACAGTGCTCTCTGACTGGTGTGCCAGGAGAGACAGACCCATAGATATGTTGCTCCCTGACCATGTAGGGCTTTGAAGGCCAAGGCCAAAACCTTGGATCCGATCCACTATTCCACTGGGAGCCAGTGCAGCTGGCGGAGCACCGGTTTCATGTGGGCTCTGAAATGAGTGCCTGCAAGCACACATTAACCTCCGCATTCTGGACGTTGCAGTTTCCGGGTCAGTCTCAAGGTCAGCCCTGTGTAGAGCTAGTTACAGTCGTCTGATGTGGAGATGATGGATCACTGTGGCTGTCAGGGCAAGGGGCCAGTTGCTAGATTTGGCATAGGTAGAAAAATGCCAATCTGGCAGCATTTCTGATCTGGGCCTCCACTGAAAGGGAGTCCTCCAGAAACACTCCTGAGCTCTTCATAAGAGGTCTTGGTGTCAATGGCTCACTGTCAGGGGCTGGAAGTTCGCATCCCAAGCTGGGATCTCCTCGGCTCAGCCTCAGGTCCTCTGTCTTTGGTGGAATTAGTTTCAGCCGACTCTGCTCCAACCAGCCAACTATGGACCCTAGACCCATGGCCAAAGTATCCGGGATGGTATTTGGGCATCCGTGTCCACCAAGAGGTACAGCTGGGTGTCCTCAGTGTCCTGGTGAGATCCCAGCCTCTGAAGCTCCACATCACCCGACACATGCAGGGTGCGTGCAGATGTTAAACAACATTGGGGAGAGGGTTGCCCCCTGGGGGGGGGGGACACTGCACACCACAGGGTGTTGGGCAGAAACCCTCCCCCCAGCCGCCACCCTCTTTCCCCAGCCGTGGAGGTCAGGGACCGAGATCTCATCGCGGACTGTCTGGAGTTGTTCAGCTGCTGCTCTCTCAACCACCTTGCCCAGAAATGAGAGGTTCGAGACTGGATGGATCAGTAGGATCCAGCAGTACCCAGAGGCAGTGTTTCTCCACTGCCTCTGGGTATTGCTGCCCCACCTAACCAGAGCCCAAGACAGGGGCAGTGGTGGCAGCAGTACCCAGAGGCAGTGGAGAAACACTGCCCCTTCAGGTGCCAGGTCAGGCAAAGGAGGGGTGGGCAGAGTGGGGCCCGCCGGCTGACACAGGCCCCTTCCGCCACAGCCACCAAGGGTCCTCCAGTCCACAAACTGCATCAGTCCTGGCAAGCAGGCCCTGCCAGAGCGACAAGGTCTTAGCCGCAAAATAGCTCACAAAAGCCTCATGGTTAATTTCCAAATTTCTACTTTTTTGGGTTCCCTCTGAAAAGGAAGTTAATGATTTGATCACCCTAAATAATTGAGCTGGGCGAGAGTTAGCAGATGCCACCTCATAGGCCTTCATAAATGTCCTATAAGATGTTCTTGCAGCTTCATCACGAGTCAAACTCGTTCTCGTGGTCTAAGTTCTCGTTTCAACCTTCTGAGCTCCAAGGTACACTGAGGAAACAGTTTGGTATGGGCAAAGAGGGATCTCATTGGGGAGCAATCTCATTGATGGCTTCAGAGAGACAACTACACCAGTCTTCTACCAGCACATCTAATGAGTCACTAGGGGGCATCGGATCCCGCAGAGCATCCTGGAAACCAGTTAGATCCATCAGTCTGTGCGGGCGCGAGCATGGATTAGCACACCGCCTGAGCAGGGAGGAGCTGGGACCCTCAGATGAGCCTTCACAACAAAGTGGTCCAACCATGGCACTGCATCAGTGGCATCCAGCTCCACATGCCCATCTTCCAGGAGTCTTTCAGGGCGGTTCTGTGCATAAACTTGTTGACTTTGGTGAGCTTCGACTGGAGTGAGCGCACAGGGTGGAGCTGTTTGCCAAGATGTCATCTGATATGCAGCTGGTGGCAGCTCCCGCTATACAAATGCTGCCTTATATAATTTCAAATGTTGACAATCTATGTTTTCAGGAGAAGGGGGAGACCACAGTGGGAGGAGAGAAAGCAAGAATGAAGGACAGCAGGAGAAAACCCTGTACAGTGGTTGTCCTTAGAACTAAGTGCTTGAGCCAAAGGATTGGAATGAAGAACTGCTACTCCTCAGTGAGTCGGAGGAAGAACACACAGTCTGGCTTCCTCGAATGCAGGTCACATTATCCAGGTCTTATCCAGCCCCCTGTTCTGTTAAGGCAAACAGTGCTAAGATCGGAGGCAAGTTTGTGGTCTCTTGGCAATTCCTGCAAAGTTGGCTTTGGAAGCAGGAGAGGAGAGGAATAGGCCTTTGCAGGCAGGGTCCTTTGTATGAGGCCACAGGTGGAGCTGTGTAGGTGGCCCCCCCCTAATATACACTGGTTGCCTGCTGCTGCCTTTCCAGAGAATGTCCACATTTGTGATGCAGAGCATGGCCTTTCTCCAGTCCTCCTCCCCCGTGCCAGGGTCGCGAGTCATCGTGAGTGGAGACCTGAGGCTGCGCCAGAGGCAGCCGCTTGGCCATTGCGGGCTGGACGACAGATACAACGTGAGTGTTGCCTTCCCAGTTCAGTCTCTCGCGTGGTGGAGGCGGCTGTGGTGAAGTGTGGGGAGGCCAATAAAACGATGTGTTTTCAGTAGTGCAGAGTCTGGCTGGAGACGGCAGGGGCCACCCTGGCTCTTCTTCTTCAGAGTTTAGAGAAGGACAGGAGGGGTAGAGCATGCCTGCCGGGAGAGGGTTGCCGCAGCTGCCTAGAGTTCCTGGAACCCGTGAGGGTTAAATGCAGGATTCCTGGTCCTATTACATATTGTTAAGCAATTTGCAAGAACTTGCTGAAGTAAGCATACAGCAGCTTTTAAAACGACGGAAACAGTATTTCCATACAGCACACAATCCACCTGTCCTTAATACAGGTCATGGTATTAGGTTTTACCAAGGATTAGTGCAGTCTCCAGAAATATAAAACAACTTGGTCAAAGGAGGTCCACACCACAGTATTAAAGGAATTCTCAGCTGTGAAGCGACTGGAAGCTCAGCAACTTCCACAGGGAATGGAAACCTCTGTTGTTATCCCAGTCGACTCTAGCTGCTGTCTGAGAGAGTGTCAGGTAGTCCATCCCAGGATGACTGTTGACGTTCCTAACAGGAAATGATCTCCTTGTGGCAGGTATCTGTGATCAATGGCTCAAGCCCTTTTGCCCAGGACTATGATCTCACGAACATAGTGGCAGCGTATCAGGAGAGAAATGGTAAGTTTGCATTTAACACAATCTTTTTTAGAACAGCTTACACCTGTTTGTGTATGTTGTTTCCAGAATGCATCAGTTAATGATGGCAAAATTATTTCTGCTTTTTCTGTGCAGTCACAACAGTTCTGTCTGCTGATGCCGGCCCCATCTGGGTAGTTGGAAGAGCACCCAGCGACCCTTTTGTGATCCAGGCCACCATCCATTACCCAGTGGAACTGATTGTATATCCTTTTGGCTGCTGGGTGGTCAGGCACGTGTGAGAGCAGCAGGGCCGTTTGGAGTAGAGCACAGAACGCCCTGGTCTGAACAAGGAGACGGGGCTGCTGGGTTGGGGTGCAAGACAGGAGATAAACCTTGGACAGACTTAGGTGTGGCAGGCACCTCCCTCCCTCCCTCTCTGAGGACCAGAGCTGTGAGATGCAAGGTGAGGAAATGACGGGACATGGGCCAGTGAGAGAGAGCGAGAGAGAGCAGATTTTGAGTGTGAGCAGAGGGGGATCAGGACCCCCCCACCAGTAAATGGCCTCCTCACTTTTCCTTCCTGGGAGTCTTCTTAGTCTCTCGTTCCTCTGGCTAGATTTAGTTGAGGTGTGTCTTTTTTCACTTGTGTGCTTATGTTTGGAATAAGTCCTCCTTGACACTTGCTACATATCAGCCCGGCTTCTGGGAAATGATCAAGTTTGCCTGGATCCAGTATGTCTCCCTTCTACTGATTTTCTTCTGGATTTGTGAAAAAATAAAAACCTTCCTTTTCCAGAATCAGGTGCTAGACGCTGTTCCGGTGTTACCGGTTTCTTCCGTATTGACCCACAAAGAACACCAGTCCTGAAAACGTCTCTTCAAAACAAACAATCAAATATGAACAGCCACAGGATAAGCAAAGTGGGCCACTTTCACTTTGTCCAATGTTCTTCCCCTCCCAGAAGATGTGGGGAGACCTGGGCATTCCAGAGCCTGTGCCATTGCCCCTTCAAGATCCAAGCACATTCCTGGTGTTCCCGTTTTCCCTTTGCAAGGGGTTTTGCTGTCTGCCACCTCATCTAATTTGCAGTCCTGCTTTGAGATGTTCTTTCTTAGTTGCTGTTGGATACTAGTGTATTTTAGAGGCAGTCTGTGTATACCCATGCAGGGGCTCTTTGGCAGGTAAGAGGATGGTTTTACTTATAAAAGCTGTGTTCATGAGATGTTCTCTCGTGATTGACTGTATCTGCAATTTCACCCTTGAATTTTGGACATGCCTCGATGTCATGCTTCTACACAGGGATTTCAGAAATCCCCGTGAGTGAGGGAGCAAGCCCACTCTTTCCAGAGGGCAGTAGCTTCAGCAGGGATGCTGTCCTCCCAAGGAGAGTGAGCGTGTGCCACCCGTGCCTTCTGAGATGGGGACGGAAACCACCTGCCCCACGGCATGCAGGTGACAGCCGGGGCCAGCTGCACCTCCAGGAAATGGACTTCCCCCGCAGTAAACTCCGGGACTCTCCTCGTGCGCCTGCCAGCTGTCCTAACACACCCAGATACGGAAGGCAAGCGGTGCAGGGAGGGAGCAGCCCCACCCGCTACGCCAGCCCCTTCCATCGAGGGCTGCTAGGGAGGGGCCTACAGCACAGTCACGCAGAGGTCCTTGGCTGGCTTCTGCCCTGTTTGCCCCAGACGGGCCCCTGGCCCCATGCCAGAGTTCCTGGCCCTTCCTCACCTCTGGCTTGTTCATTAGCCAGGTGTCGCGTCATTCTGACTCAGTGAATGGCTCAAGGTGCTCTCGGGGGTGTGTGTGTGTGTGTGTCCAGCCCAGCTACATCTCCTTCCTATAGAGAGGCAGAAGCCACTGTGGCACCCTGAGGCGCTCTCTGCCAGCAGGTAGTGACGTTACAGCTTCTCTCTTGTTCTTCGTCTTCTGCAAGTAGCTTGCAACTCACTGCCCAAGCCGTCGAGGAAAGACTGGCTCAGTCCTCATAGAGAACAGGCCGAGGCTCCAAAAATGGGTGGCCACCGTGGCACTTTCTTCATAGAAGTGGGCGGTAGTTTGGCATCTCCCTCTGCCCTTGTTTTAATGTGCCTGAGAGAAGCGGGTCTCATCTGCTGCTCTTTGCTGTCTCCAGTCTGCTTGGCACTATACAGAATAACAGATCTTTGGTTAAAGAGCTTTCTCATCATAAAGGAGTGGTTCCCCTCTTTACTGGACTGGGAGAATACTGGGAGGCATGCATTCCCATCTGTGGCGTATAATTTTAAAAAACCTTGGCTTGAATCTCTCTTCCGTGTGTGCGTGCATCAAGCGAAGACAGGGTGCAGATGCTCTCTGTGTATCGGAGTCTTGCATCTAAGGACTGAGGAGGAGGGGCCCCTGTGGCTCCGTGGCAGAGCCTCTGCTTGGCATGCAGAAGGTTGCTGGTTCAGTCCCCGGCAACCTCTCCAGTTGTAGGTGGTAGGGAAGAGACCCTGGAGACTGACAGCCAGTCATGTGAGACAAGACCCGATGTGCTGTAGTGGTTAGAAGTGCCAGGCTAGGATCTGGAAGGACCCAGGTTTGAATCCTCACTCTGCCCTGGATGCTCCCCCCCCCCCGTTCTGTCAGCCTAACCGACCTCATAGGGTCGTTGTGAGGATTAAAATGGAGTTGAAGAGAGTGATGTAATGGCATAAATGAAGTAAACAAGCAAGACAGAGCTTGCTAGATCAGACTCAGTACAAAGTGGCTTCATGGATTTAGCTGAGGCCCTTCCTGAGCTGATGTGTGTCTGTATGGAATCCATTTTCTCCTCTGGTAGCTGTGCGTGTCCTTACAGGGAGGCAGGTGGAGCGGGGCGCGCAGAGCAGAATGGGAAAAGAGGCAGAGACAAGAGCAGAAGTCTGCCTGCTGGGCCACCTGAAGCCAAGTCGGCTTCCGCCTCATCCTGCTGACTTCGAGGGGGCACCTCTGTCTCAGAGGGCCCTGCTGTCTGCTGACCAGCGATGACTTCGCAAGGGGGGGAGAGGATCGATGGGGACTGTGGGGCCAGGCTTCCGGTGGGGGGGGCGCACCTGCCCAGAAAGACCGATGCCTGTCCAAAAAATGCTATGAAGTTCTAACACAGACTGTGTTTAATAACAATACACATCAGTCTCATCTGAGTGTGATTCTGTGGAGAGTGTTACTGCAATCCCACCTGAATTGTTCCAAAAGTCGCTACTCTTGTAGCTCCAAAGTTCCAACACTTTGCTGCTTATAAAGGAGTTTTACCAAACTGTTTTGAAAGTACTCCTGTGTTGATTCAAATTGATATGTTTTATTGATAAATATCTTTGTTAGGTGCTTTGAGCAGTTCCTGAAGACACCAGAAATAAACATTTCTCAAAAACCTGATGGCATGCACTATTATTATATTGCGTTTGTTATGACAGTTTTGAGCGTGTGTGTATCCATCCAAGAGGCAAGGAGGCCAGAAATGAGACCAAAGAGGTGTTAGCCTCTGTGGAGAGTCCAAACTACGTGGCCTTCCGAAGCTCGCCTCGCCTCCATATCACAATTGGTGCTTCCTTCTTGTAGGGCAGAGATGCTTTCCGGTGCAACTTGGAACCTTTTTGGGCCTGGTGCCTAAGGGATAATGAAGCAAGGGGGAGGGGGGCACTCCAAGGGGGAGGTACCACCCCTGGAAAGGAATCACACGGACTGAGGTTTGCTGCTTGTCAGCCAGCTCACATCAGCAGGTGGCGGCGACAGCAGCATTAGGTGTAAATTTGGTGGGGATAGCAGGGACTTGAGCCCCCACTGCCCGTTTTCATCTTTTCTGTCTAGTTGTGACCACCAAGTGTGAAATAACTTTTTTTTTCATGTCAGCTGTGCAAAATAGGAGACTTCAGTTTTCTCAAGAGAAGCCTAGCATTTAAAAAAAAAAATGGGGGGGGGGGGCTTTTGGCTTCTTTGATGCTGTTTTGTTGGAATTTGTGAATGCCTTTGGAGTTTGGTTGATTTGCCCCCTGTAAGTATTGTGTGTAATTTGAAAAAAGAAGTTGTAAACAGCCATATTGGCCCAGGCAACACCCAGAACAAGAGGGCCAGCCAGAATGAGACACAACCCTGGACAAGCTTTTGAGCTCCTGTCGGAAAGAACCCTTTGGCGGTACCGGTTTTTTGGGAGGCCATTTTCCAGGCCTAGATCTGGAGCCCCCTCCTTCCAGTTGGGAAGCCAGCACGGTCCGAAGTCACTCTGCAGCCGGTGTAGCCTTTGGCCAGGATTTACCCTCCTGCCACGAGGAGATTTCCTCTTTTTAAACACAACACCCCTTCCCTGGCGGGACTCTCTCTCGACTTTGGAGCCCAGTTCCTCCCCCGG